GTGAAAACCTTCTTAAACCAGACAGCATCTCACAATTTCCGAATAATAATTAATCACTATCATGAAATTCCACCATGATACTTAAAAGATGATTCTGCACCCCTTAAAATTTTGGAAACACATATAATTAACTAGAAAGTGTCCTAGTGACCGTTGAAGTGTCAGCACTGTCAAACGACCAAGAGATCGGAGGACTTCACTTTCAAAATTTAAAAAATGAAAGGATATTTCCTTATCTAAATTTTTAAAACCAACTTTGAGAGCCGAGGGTTGAAATATGTTTTTATAAAAATAATCCTGGGTTTGCTAATTTTAATTTTTTAATTAATTAAGATTTTCAGTTGAGATAAAAAAGTCAGTGTCACGAGCGGGATTCGAACCCAGGATCTTCGGCTAGATACGCCGCTGCTCTACCACTTGTCCTCTATCCACTCGGACACTAACTTCCCATCTCAACCCACCTTTTGAATTTTCCCTCCTTTCGGCCATTTTTTCAAATTCAAGTGGTAGAGCAGCGGCGTATCTAGCCGACGATCGTGGGTTCGAATCCCGCTCATGACACTGACTTTTTTATCTCAACTAAAAACCTTAATTAATTGAAAGATATTAATTGGTCAAGCGGACCACGAAAACTAGTGAATTTAATTTTTTAGTAAAACCCTTCAATTGGCTTGGTCTTTTTGAACAGATAAAGCACAAATCATTACCTACCTAATCATCTGTATTTAATTAAGGCATTTATTTTTGTTTTTTGAATACTTAGCAATATGATAAATGTTAGATTTATCAATTTACTAACAGAATACACAATATCACATATACACTTACAATTAGTATGAATCAGCGTAAGTTGAGAAAAAATTATAGTAAACAATATTAATTTCCATTGTATAATAGTAGACTTAAATTTTCGTGATTATTTGCCTGCTTATTGCCACTCCGTAACGAAAATGACATAACACAGTCTTGAGAACGTAGAATGAATAATATATTAATGTTTTCAAGATTGATTATTCAACAAGAATGTATTGACAAGTTAAACTATGGATGAAAAAACGTTCAACGCATAAATTTCCTATTCCAACGACTTTGAATGAATTTTCCGTTTTAGCATAAGTGGCTGCGAATACATTGGTGTTACGTATTCAGTCAAAATATTAAGTATTCATTATCGTTTTTGAATTTTAATGCGATCCTTGTATTTTTAACCGATAGTAAAACTCGTGACATTTTACAAGGTTTGAATCGTTTCAGAAAGACAAATTGTTAACAGATTGATGGTACACAAATGTACTTTTTTTCGTGAGCAGTGATGACCTACTATTTATTTATAACGGCCCGATTCTAGACATCCAGTCCCGTGCCAAAGTCGACGTCGACTCTACAAGTTTAACGAACTTTATCACGTTCGAAGTATTTTTTAAATTTAATTAGCTATAAATTAATTACGAAGTGGGTAATTCTCATTATAATCAACTATACAAAAAGTATAATCGCTTGCAGGTTTTCATTCACTAAAAAGACGGTTGTTAAAGACATAAATGCAACGGATTATAATTAAACCAAATAAAATTTTCCAAATATATATCGTGTTATCAAACTCACACTTTTCACTTTTTGTTTTTTAAATTTTTTTTAATACATTAAATAATCCAAAATACGTGATCTCAAAGTGTTCTACTACCGTCGTAACTTCCTAATTTCTAGCATAGTGATTAATTTCCTTATGATATGCAACGTAAGACCAGCCAGTTTATCTGATCGTTAAGAGAAAGTGTGAAATATTTCATTTCCTTGCAGTTGCATACTGTGTTTATACTGTTCCCAGGCCAGCCGGAAAAAATATAAAAACACTTAATATAAAATACATCACAATTAATTAAGGTTTTTAGTTGAGATGAAAAAAGGTTAATGGCACGAGAGGGATTCGAACCCACGACCTTCGGCTTGATACGCCGCTGCTCTACCACCTGAGCTATCGTGACCTCACGAGGTGGTAGAGCAGCGGCGTATCAAGCCGAAGGTCGTGGGTTCGAATCCCTCTCATGCCATTAACTTTTTTTCATCTCAACTAAAAACCTTAATTAATTGTAATGTATTAATTGGTCAAGCGGACCACGAAATTAGTGAATTGAATAAAATATATCATATATAATAACTAATAACGTTTGACGTTTTTTAAATTGGCATTTATGAATTGGAAGATTTACAGGGATTATGATTGATTTATTGATTATTATTATTGATAGCAAATACACTCAAAGACGAAAAAAACGGGCACGTGTATTTATTTTTTTTATTATTCTTAATCACTAGATGTAAAGATTAAGAGTTGACTTAAAACGTAAACACGCATAGAGTGTTACTGATTCTTTTGCATTCTTTATATTAAAAATAAAGAAAATCAGTCCAGTTTCATCCTTTCCTGAGCCACCTTGTCGAGTGAGTAGTACGTTTGAGTTAAAAAAAAAATCTTAAAAGCGTAGTGTGTAGAGATTAGTGACCGTTAATCGATAGTTATTCAGATATCGTGAGATGCGGTCGGGTGTGATGTAGGTTTCACAAAAACATTTTCTTTATCATGCCAACGTTTCGATGATCATCAATCTTCTGAAGATGATCTCAATAAAAGATCGAAACGTTGGCACGATAAAGAAAATGTTTTTCTGAAACCTACATCACACCCGACCGCATCGCACGATATTTAAAAGCATAGTTTTTAACTCCGCTTTCTACCGCCCACAATTATAAGTTCAAGCACTAAAGACTTTTTTTGAAAGATTTTATTTACTAATTATTATTCGGTGATCGTGAGATGCGGTCTTTATTGAGATCATCTTCAGAGCCTAACCAATGCAAGAAGGCTTTGCGAGAATAGTCTCTAGACGTCCCGAATCAGGTTCTGTAATACTGCAGAGGCATCGCGTAGAAAGGCGACTATTAGTAAATCAGCATCTCGCTTGAAAACTTGAACAATGGGGAGCTGTTCTCTTCACCGCGCCGGTTTGGTTTGTGTCAGATGACCGGGACCGTGTGCGTAGAAGACAGTTATGGCATGGGATGGAATCAACGTCCATAGCCGAACCGAACTGATTGTCATACAGAATGGATTTTTGGCAGCACTAAGGTACATTGAGGAATTTCTACTGGAAGCTGTGTCTCATTCGCTCCATTTATGAGGACAACTTTGTGTATGCTCGTAGCTCGAGTTGTCACCCGTTACTTGGTAAACACATATGGAAGATGATAAAGAGACGGGTTTGACATCGATTGCCGATTCCCAACAAGCGTTGAAGGGCTGCAAACCGCACTTGTTGAAGAATGGGTTTCTGTTTCACAAAACGAAATCCGGTCGCTTATTTACTGATGCCTAGGAGACTTAAGGCACTCTGCGAGGCCAAAAGCGCGTTATTAAGGACAAAACTAGGTCATAAATTGTTCGTTAAATTGTAATCTATAAATGTGTGGTGTTTAGTGACCGTTAGCCAATGATTATTTGGAGATCGTGAAGTGCGGTCTGGTGTGACGTAGGTTGTAGAAAAACATTTTCTTTATCATGCCAACGTTTCGATCTTTATTGAGATCATCTTCAGGTTTGTTTTTCATGTAGATGTGTCATTCTTGGGTGGCGTGTTGAGAGTGCCCAAATTAAGATATACATGTAATCTATAATTAAATGATGTTTTGGTTATTTTTCTTTTAAGCCATCATAATTAAATATTTTTTATTAAAACTTATGAATTTTTGATCTCGTTTAATTTGGTTTACATTAAAATAAATATGTTGCAACTAATAACGATATATATAGACATATAAGATTGAAATAAATAACTAAATACATGTGTCTTTTTTTCTCTCTTTTGTCTTTGAGTGTATAAGAGACAATAAAACGATTTGTTGAAATAAGACCAACTGTGTATACATAAAAGATGACACAATTCGCAGAATTCAAGGTTGTACAAATTAGGCTGGCATAGCGGAGTGTACGTCAAACCTGGAAACGCGTCCAAAAAGGATAAAAACCGAGAAGTTTTACAGCAAACAAATAAATCGATAGTAGATAGTAATAATCAAATATTGTTGTCGAAAACAAACAGCGAGAATGAGCGGACCAAGTAATTACGAAATAGTCGACGACAATCATCTCGGACGACCAATTAACAAAATTATGATTGCTTCGAATCCATAACAGATGTGTTAATTGGGCCTTTATACAGAATATGTTTAAATAAATTCCTCGATTGAAAGATTGTTGTTTCATTTCAAAGATAAAAATTAAAAACAAATCAAACAATCATAGCCATCCCTAATAACAACCCTAACCATCCCTAACCACCCCAATCCAGAAAAGTTCTTGAAATTTGGTTTATTCCAGAGAAAATTCTCTGGGGTCGTTTTTTACGTTTTCAAATAACAACACTTACGGTCGGTATGTTAACACGGACGGGATTGAATTTAGAAAAGCTGATATTTTTTTATTGTAAAATATATAGGTTCTGTGAAGTCCTACAGTCGGACTAACGGAGCGTTGAACAGGTTGACACCTGGCGGTCCCATTATTCGTTGATTTATGAGCATAAAGCCGTAGCAATGCTTTTTAACAGGAAAAGTGCCATTCTGTTGCCAGGTAGGGAAACAATTTTGGACAATGTATCGGTTTTACCTGATCGTGTACGAGTCTTTTCTAGTTTGTTTTGTATGTCAGATTCTCTGAAGGAGAGATCTTCCTTCCATCCACACCTTATCCCTCTTACCTCTCTATCTACTTATCTACATCAAGCGATTTTTATTTATTTATTTTTTGTGAAGAGGTTCTAGATTTAATGCAATCAAAGGACTATCGAAAGAAAAACCCATTCAGTTAATGTGCAACCCATTGTATTCAAAACGGGAAGTGTCAAGGGAAAAGATTGGCATATAGATTAAGTTGTTCTCATAATCTCGCAGTTTGCAAAACAAAGACGTACAGCAACGTTCTAAGAGTTGAACGGTAATTTTACCTGTGTTGGGAATAGGCCGGGGGTGGAGTGGCTGGTGTAGTCGGTGGTTCATCATCCTCCCTCGTAGTTACGCTCAGCTGGCCGCTACTGCAAATAAAAAAAAAGAACTAATTGAATGCCCATTCAGAAACAGTTTAAATAATAAAATTCTGATGAATAAAGAAAGCCTTCTTTTCGTTCGATAGATGAAACATTAATAAATTGAGATATCGTCGAGGAGTTAGAGGGATAATTGTGGCTTGTTTGTTGCCGACCATTTCCGGTCTGCCTCGTTGTTTTGGTCTGACAGGCGCATTTCGACTTCTCGACATCTTCATTGTTAGGATGTTAAATTTTGTGAGGTGGCGAGCAAACCAAAACAGAGACCATGGCTGAAACTCGAAAAACAATCATTATTCCACCATATGCAATGGACTGCTGTTATTCTCGAGCTGCCCGAATTTAGCCAATTTACCGTTTTGTGTAGATGGTTCTGGATTGAGCCGATGAAAGTTCTAACCTTATATGTATGATATCCCGGACATCGAGTTATCCAAGTTTATAGGGGCATTTGAGGGCATTGATAAATAGTGATATTTCGCCTTGGGGACTCCAGGGCGATTAACCTGCAGTTTTTTCATGTCCGATCATTTCGTTCAGCCTATTCTTGCTGTTTTTGTCTATCAGACGGGTTTAGGCTTTTTTAACGTATTCAGCAGTGGGGTTGACACCTACCTCTCCATGCTTATAACGTGAAGCCTCACTCTGAACATGACGAGATGCCGTAACGTGTCTGACAGACGAAAATAATTGGTCTTGCCTTTTTATATTTTGAACTAAAGAACACCGATAGAGCAGGACAATCATACAAACCGAGAGAAGACGGATACCGTAAGGTAATCAAGTGTGTCAGTTCAACATATTTTCACCGACTCGCAGACCAAAATCTTTCTTTTTATATTATGTTATTTCTCCATGTTTCCATATAAAATAGTTATCCCAGTCATTACGATATAGGCAGTTTTATTTGTCTACATTCTAAAATACACCTTTTCAAAAATTAAGTGTGTAAACATGAAATTATTCTTAATCTAAAATACTAGTAATCACTTTAATATTATTTCTTTCTATTACATAGCTTATTACATAAAATCTCTGTTGCGAAACACGATTCCAAACATCACGAAGCTATTCTATTCGCTTCATAGAAAGTTCTTTAGATAACAGTAATTTTATTAAGAACGTTCCAAACACTTGTTTCCAGTTAAGTAGATACTTGTATCAACTATATTAATTTCGCGACTATACATTGCAACAAAACATCGTCATTATGATTCTGTCATTATACCTGAAGTAACAGTAAATTATCATTTATTAGAAAATGACCCTGATGTGAAAATGATCAACTACTGGTTGTAATTGGCTTTTCATTGTTACGTAAACATTTAAAAAATATCATCCCTTGGGAAAGGCTTAATTACAGGATGCGTGATATTTAAATTTTCTACATTTACATATGAGTGATGTTTTCCAGTCGACTTCAACTGTACAAAAAAAAAACATTAATTAGCCCGTACACGCACTGGAATTAAAATTATTATAAAACCATTATATTTCGTGGTCCGATTTACCAAATAACTTCTTTCAATTAATTAATTTTTATGTAAGGTATTGGTTGAGATAAAAAAGTCTCCGAGAATCGAATCCTGATTACACGACTTTTGAAAAATGGCGAAAAGAGGGAAAATTCGAACTGTTGTAGGTTGGGATGGAAAGTTGGTGTCCGAGTGAATCGAAGTCACGATAGCTCAAGTGGTAGAGCAGCGGCGTATTTAGCCGAAAGTCATGGGTTCGAATCCCGCTCGTAACACTGACTTTTTTATCTCAACCAATACCTTACATAAAAATTATTATAAATAAAAAATGCCCCCTGAAACAAAAAAACAAAAAAACAAAAAAAAAATTTAAGAAATAACCATTTTTTAAAAATAAATATATGTTTCTTAAATTGAAATTTCAAACTTACACTCATTCTTAAATTAGAGCGTTGGACTATTCAATAGTCCCCCATCTCACTTACTAATTGAGAGTCTAAGGGTCTCAATACTTCATCAACCGCCCTCTCATATTATACATTCTCGCTAATAAATACATTCACTCTCTATATACACAAAACCAGTATCAGTACTATAAACAACACCCGTTTTTACAATACTCGGGTCGAGCTCACGCACAATTCTTTATTGCATAAAGTGGAATTTTTACATGATCTATAGTGAGCCGAGAAATGACATTTTTCATTAAGTAGGGAATACATCTAGCAACCTTTCTCTGCTTGCTGGACATACAAGCGGGCTTTGGCCCAAAATAAAGTGCCCGTGAGTCAATTTCGTATGGCCTATTCTTAATCAGGTTAAGATGATTAAATTTAATGTTTAAAAGCTTCTCTTCGATCCGACCCATTTACAGTGTCATTTCCTTTTAGCCCGTTTGTAATTGCATTTTTAGTCAGAAGGTCGGATCAGATCAGGTCCCGGCCTAACCTGCCTAGTCCATCTGTTCGCTACCATCGTGGGACCCAGACAACCTAAAAGGTTCGCAGAGTATCTCTCCAACAAATGCAGGATGAGAGGGTTCACCGAGAACCTGTCACGGATTCAAAGTAATAATAACAAGCTTAAGGTCGTGGGTACGAATCGCGCTCCTGACACTAATTTTTTCACCTCAACCTAGACCTTATATAAAAAGAATAATTAACTGAAAGACGTAATTTGGTCAATCAAACCGCTAAACATAATGGATTTAATAATAATAACGTTTTGATAGTGCCATTTTAATTGTATCCTACGCACATTTTCTGGCTTTTCATATTTGTAGACCGTATTGAAACAATTGGAACGTATCTCATAAATTAAACAAATAACGACGCACCACATGTTTAATTTCAGTATATTTACACATCACATTCTTTTTTGTTGGCACGTATAACTTCCATTTTCCGAGAGTAATTAACCAAATTTCGACAAATTGAAGAACTTTCCATTTTTTTCCTATTCGAACATTTATAAATGACAAGTCGCGTTGATGCATATCAAAAAGTTCATTATACTTTGAGACAAAGGACGAATGTGAAGATCACGCCAAGTTGCCCTTGAATAAAAGCCAACATTGAGCTACTTGCAAATTTATGACGTCAGTACCTTTCATTCAATAAACTCGTTTTCATGTCTTTCATGCCATAATCGTACCGGTTATATTATAATTCCGACCTACTTCAACATATAAATGCAGTATTAAAATTTAAATTAACCTAAACTTCTAGGAATGTCAAGGTATTATTTCTTAATATTAGACAGTATGTTTGCTAAACTAACAAAATACATAAACATTTCTAAAATTTCAATGCATAAAATGATATTATTATATTATAACACTGTTGATGTCGAAAATTGTGTTGTGACTGTCACTTCTGATGCCAAATTTGACCTATCTTTATGTTCTTGGTAGAAATTTGATAAGGATTGATTGATATGAATGACTTGTGATTTCTATTCAATATTTTAAAGAACATTATCACTACAAATATAGGATGGATATAAGTTCACGAAGTAATTTCATGGCAAAGAATAAAAAGTTTATAGTTTATTATCCAAGAAAAAGATTTGCGTCATTCATACCTTATCGTAATGTACTAGAAATCCATCCCTAAACAGTAATGTACTAGAAAAATACTGCAGGTAACAAATTTCATAACAATAAATTGGCAAGTAAACATAATTTTCCATAACCTAACCTGGGTTCTATTCACAAAACAATGTGAATAAAGCCATCCTTTACAAAATGTGAATCGACATACTCGCCCCTATCTCAATTATTTTTATTAACCAACATAACTATGTTCAAAGTGGTTTTCACCTAATTTACTCAGGAACCTTTTCATTAAAAACGTTTTCCGTTACATACTAATAAAGAAGTTAACTGTTGGCGAAATTGGTGCGAAGCAGGCTACTGGAGCATCAGAATTTTAATTAATCCGGCTCTTTTGTAATTTATCAAGTACCTTTACTTTGATATTATCAGGCAACAAGAAAAGTTCGTGCGGTTTCGTATTTATTATAGTATTAATACCGTTAAGTAAAATTTCTTGTTATATAGGAGAATTAGGTGTTTATCGCTTAACACCTTAAGGATAACGAACAATCTGGATCAAGGTATGGTCTTGAAGAAGAAAGTTGTTACTGTCAAGCTTTCGACCTATGTTAAGGTCATCATCAGGGTAAAACTATCTTAAGTATGGCACACTGATCGATTTGGGAAGACGTGGAAGCTGGTTGGTTGGTGGTTTCCTCAATTGACGCGGAAACCGAATTCCGAAGTGTTTTTGTCACTTCTGATGGCCAAATTTGACCTTTCTTTATGTTCTTGGTAAAAATTTAATAATGATATTAATGATTTTTGATTTCTATTCAAAATTTTACAGAACATTATCACTATAAATGTGGGATCACAGTTCTTGGCAATGTTGGGACTGAGTCGGTCTTCAAGGAAATTTTAGATCGCCTGTAAAAAAACTTAAATATGTCAATCTGTAGACATATTTGTTTTGTGCTGATGAACACGATAATAAGTCAGTTCATAAAGAAAAACTGTCTTGAGCAGTTCATTACAAATTATTTAAAAAAAATTATCGTGGGTGCTAAACCCATAATTTGTGCATGCTTAGTGTAAAAATTTAATCTCGGTTATTAGAGCGGCCGAAGCAGCTCGTGAAATTTGCACCGCGTTCGGTGATGAAAAAATAAGTTCGCGCATTGCCAAAAAGTGGTACAAAGTTTCAAAAAACAAAAACCAAAATATCACCTTATAATAGAATGGTGGGATCAGGGCAGTGTTTTAGAACTTGTGAGAAGAAATAAAAAATAAACCACAGCAAAAAAAATACAAATAAACACCTTTTTTCTATTTTTTGAAATAAATAATACAGAATAAATTCCTTTTTTTAATTAAAAATAAATAACACAAAATAAATACCTTTTCTATATTAAAAATGAATAATACCGATTAAAAGCTTTTTTAAATTAAAAATTAAAAATACTAAACCAATACTT